GAAAGAAGAAAGAGAGAGCCCCCCCTCAAAAAAAAAAAAAAAAAAGAAAAAAAAAAAAAAGGCAGAAGAAGAGTCTCGTCTGGCTCGGGGGCGAATTCTAAAATAGTGTGCCGGTACCTAGTAGTGAGGCTGAAGTAAAAAGGGCAAGGGGGGCAATGGTAGGGCAATTGAGGAGGATCGGTTTAAGTGGAAGTGGAGGTTGAAAGAGTGGACAAGAAGAGGTGGAAGAGAGAGGTATAGCGACAGGAGAGAAGAAGGGGAAAAATTGAAGAAGAGGAGAGAACAAAAAAAAAAAAAAAGAGGAGAAAGAAACAAGAGAGCAAGAAGCACGATAGAGGAGAAGTTGAATGAATGGATGCACGAGGAATCCGGTACGGTAATGGTGGTACACTCCAGAACTTCAAGACACAACCTTCCTAAGTGTGTTCAGGTAGTAAAGTAAATTAAAATAAAAATGGAAAAAAATTCCAAAAATTCCAAAAATTCCCAAAAAAAATAACAGCTTCTGCGGGGCCTTTGGGTTCACTAGTTGACAGAATGGATTCCAAGCAATGCGGGGGTTTGGGCGATCTCCGGTTGGTTTGGTTATTATTCCGGAGATATTAAAAATAAATCTTTAAAAAACAAAAAAAAATTTGGAGAAAAATACAACAAATGACTCCATTCACAAATAGTCCCTTCAAAGAAAAAATTGTTCAAACTAATCTTGTAAAGAGAGTCAAAACAGACGGAAAATCCTTCAGGCTGCCAATCATTGCTGTCAGACCGTCAGGGCAGAAACAGTTGTTCCTGACTAACCAGCAGGCAAAGAGTGTGATGTTATTTGCTCCACTCGCATCTGGGATCCGATGTCCAGGCAAGGAAATCGCTCTGGTGATGTTGTCATTCAGTTCCAGGCCCCCCCCCCCCATAATGGGACTCTGTAGACTTGGAAAAAAGAAACTTGCCAGAGTTGAAACGGTAATATTTTATTCCCAGTTTGAAAAGGAAAGAAAAAAACAAAAATTTTTTTTTTTCCTTTTCTTTCCTTTTGAAACCAAATTAGTCAGTAACTGGTTGTCTGCATGGTCACCTGCTCAGCACGAGGCCATGCCGTATGGTAACTGTTATGGGTAGCAAAATCGAGGAACCAAATAGTAGATCATCCATCAACTTTCAGACAACATCTCAGTTTGCAGTACTAGTTCCCAGAAGGAGGGATTAATAAAATCCCAATTGACACATAATTGGCTATAGCTGGTGTGATCTTCTGACAAGTGCAGATTCCCCCCTTTCAAAAAAGGAAATTTAATTAATTAAGAATACATCTTCATACAAAACAATCTCATTCATCAACAAAACATAGCGAGAGGAGTAAAAATGATTGGCATCTACCTGAGTAGGTACACGGGCGTACAGTTCATCCCTCCTCGATTCATTACCGCCGGCAATACATTACAGCGACTACGGCCCCAAAAAAATCACTCAATGGGTGATCTGTGCTGTACTCCGTCCCGGTGACCATACCGTAATACGTAGGAATCGACGCATCGACCGGTCTAGGGCCCGGTGGGTGGATACATGATGTCATTCCCCATGGCCGTACCGTACCGTATGATTGGATGACGCCGCCATCCCCCATTGCCAATCACCCTACAAATGGGGGATAAACTGGGAAAGGGCTGACTGGCTGGGGTCAATTCGATACAGTACCGCTGCTGGTTCCCAAGACCTTATCTTACCGCCAGAGTGCCCTGAGGTTAGGGACCTTTTATAGTACTATGTACAGGACTACTAGTAAGGTACGCTCAGGTACGGAGGGAAGGTAAATTTGCCTATCATTTGAACGACCCTAAACTTTCCCAGAGGTAAGGCACGTCCAATGGTTGAGGCACCTATGTCCTACCGTAGTGAACTTGCGATTCAGCCAAGATGAAGATCCGCCAGCTGCATTGACAGGTCATTGGACACATGGCCAATACCTACTGACTGGGTAGTACCCTAAAACTGCAAGTCAAGTGCATTCCTTCGGACCTGGTTCCATGGCTAAGCCATTCTTTATGATTATGATCAATTAATAATTTGGTTTGGTTTCAACTACTTTTTATTTTTTATTTTTAATTATATTATATTATATTATAATATATTTTTTTTATTTTGCAGTTCTAATATTCTTTATCTATATAAGATTGATCGTAGATTTATGTAGCACAAATTACCCTGTATCATGAAGTGAGTAGACAAATATTCGGTCTCCTACTTAGTAGTAGTCAATGGTCGCACCACAAAGGGCCAGTTTCAACTGCGGCACGCCACAACTTTTAGCCCCAGGCATCGACGGGTGATTCTCGAAGGAATGTCTCAGGCACTCGCATTGTCCGCCATCGGTGTTGCTTACGTTGCTTTGCGTGCTTAGTATCCTACCCCATTGATTTAGCCACAATGCCAGATTGTCTTTTTGAATGATAAGCAGTCACGTATTCTTTCAATTTGAAGGTATTATTAACCTACGGGACCAGTGCAATGGCTTACCCAGATACGATTGCCTATGAGGAAGACCTCTGTGTTTGATCGCCTTATCGTCACAGATCAGAGTAATCTTAGTCCACAGCCAAGCGCCAGGTGTTTTCATTCTGAAACTGTTCTTTCAACGTCTTAAGTCCACAGCAGCTCATGGTCTTCTGTATTAGATCCCAGACATCCTGGTCAGTCAGGGCCAGAAACCGCATATATGGAAACGCCGAAGCAGTCCGGGGTAGTTGCCCATGTTGATTTGACCGCTGTCTCGTGGACAAACGTGCTGGGATGATCCCCAGATCAAGCAGGCGTTCGAGATCCCAACTGATCATGTGAAACATATGAACCATGACTTGCAGGCGGAGTATTTTGCCAACACAAATTACGACCGCCTAGCTCCAAACCAATCAGAAGATTTGAACCATACAACTTTTTGCAAGTCACCATCAAGTATCAACAGAAAGATATCGCTTGGTTTAAGTATTAACAGTAGGATACCGGAAGAATCATACTTCTGCTAGGATGTCAAGTTGGGAACCTATTGCCCCATAAAGTCAATTCACAATGCTCCACTCCCGCCTCCGACCCCTCCCCCGCCGTCGTACGCCCTTATCTTCTTCTCCGTCTGCCCCTCCACCCGATTTCCACGATGAGGACTCCGTCGAGGATGAATCTCCCGAGGACGTCTTTGGAGCCTTCCTTCCCCACCTGTTCCCAGATGATCCTCCCGGTTTCCACGGTGACCCTGGGCAGCATCTCCTGTACAGCTCCCCGCGCTATGGCGCTCTCGATATCATGGTCCCCTCCTATCCCGACCAGAGCGAAAATCGCTCGGAAAAGACCGCAGCAGATGGGCAAGTAAACGATGCTGATAAAGGGCGAAAGCTGTTTGCGCACTTTCTATGGAGTGCGGCCATGGTGGTCGCAGAGGGGGTTGAAAAAGCAGAGCATCTCTCTTCGGTAGGACAATTGGATGCCGATATGGCGATGTGGAAAGTTACAGGGGAGAGTGTGCTTGAACTGGGCGCTGGTTCGTATTTCCCTGGTTTCTCTTCCTCACAACCGTGGATGTATCGGACTAATCTTATCCTGCAGGTGCCGCATTACCATCTGTAGTCTGTGCCCTCGCGCACGCATCTACTGTTACCATTACCGACCATCCCTCCTCTCCCGCCTTGACTGGCGCCATCGCCTTCAACGTCGACCACAATGTTCGCAACTCTTCCTCCACTACTGATGTCACTATCAAGCCCCATGAGTGGGGAACACTGGATAGCGATTCCTGGGCCGTTGAGAAGAAAGGAACCTTCACACGGATCATCGGCGCGGATTGCTACTGGATGTCCTCACAGCACGAGAACCTCGTAAATACGATGAAATGGTTCCTTGCACCTGGCGGCAAGGTCTGGGTTGTTGCCGGATTCCACACCGGGCGAGCCATCGTGGCCGGGTTTTTCGAAACTGCAGTAAACAACGGACTGGAAATCGAGCGGATCTATGAGCGGGATCTCAATTCCGGGGCGGAAGACGGGAAGGAAGTCCGTCGGGACTGGGTATCTGAGAGGGAGGGCGAAGGCCCCGAGAACCGCAGCAGATGGTGTGTAATTGCTCTCCTCAAAAGCAAAGGAGAGTAGATGACCCGGGGATTCAAATACCCAGGATAAAACTCCCTACCCAGCATCCATAAAGTGGTATATACCAATGGATTCAAACATCATGACTGATGAAAGGTGACGACTATACAGCACGATAGAATATTAAAAAAGGAATAAAACAACCCTACTCCATGTATCTATAAATCCATAAGATCCATAATCAAACCCTCTTAAAACACACTGTACAAACCCCTTGACCCTCATGTCCCCCAAATCTAAACCGGGGATACTCAACACGCCCCCAAACCTCCAACCGATCGCCCTCCCCCTTCTCCCTGGTAAACCACATAACCAACTCCTCTTCAGTCCAATTACAACTCGTGACCACCAAAAACCCACCCTTCTTCACCAGACGCCTCGCAACCCCAGGATACATCTCACAAACCCGCCTCTGCACCTTCTTCCCAGCCACAGAGACATCCGCATCACCCTCAACCACCTCGTCCGAAAGCGAAACAGCATCAAACGTCCCCTTATCAAGCACAATATCAAACCCACCCTCCCCATATGGAAACCAATCCAACTTCCCCTGCTCAGTCACCTCCTCTGCAGAATGCAAAATATCCCACTCCTCAAATCTAATCTGCCCCTCACCCTCACCATCACCACCATCCCCAGCACCATCCTCATCCTCCTCATCCGTCAAATAAGCCGAATGCATCTTCAACCTCTGCAACTCCCTCGCCAACTCCACACTCCGCGCCGAATAATCCACCCCGACCATCACACCCCGGAACCCGCCCCGCTTACGCAACAGAGCCAACATGCTCCCATTCCCGGTCCCTAGGTCCAGGATACTGGGGTGGTTGGCCCCCGTGGGGACAGTGTTGCACGGTGCAAGTGGGAAGTCCTCTTCCGTTAGGAATTGGAGGACTTTATCCGGGGCGTTGTGTTCTGCGAACCATGATGTGCCGGGGTCGTCGTCGTCGTCGACTGATTCGGCGTCTGAGTCGGCATTCGTGGTTTCTTGGTTGGGGTTGTTGGGGTTCTGTTTTGTGGAGATGTGTGTGAGGGTTCGGGCGTAGAAGGTTTCCCAGCTTTTTGATTTTGGGGACGACTTGTTAGTTAGTTTCTTTTGGGGGAGGGGGGCTCTATTGTGACTTTTTTTTTTTTTTTTTCCCTTGTTTTGGACTGCTTGAGGTATAATTGCAGAATGTGATGGATATGAATGGAGGGGTAGCGGGGTACTGGCTTTTCAATTGTACTGCAATGGATTGGGACTTACTAGTCTTTGGTTCCTAATTCGCTGGGTGGAAGATGAATTGGATGAGTTTCTTCTGCCATCTTTTTGATATTTTGTGTTTCAAGAACCACGCTGTGGTGGTCTGCATGTGTTAAAATGGTTGACGTGAAGTTTGGAGAGCCGCGCGGGAGACAAATTAGGCCCCGCAGAAATCTAGAACCGCGGCTAAGTTGCAATTGAACGCTACGAGTCTACTAAAGGTTTCTTTATTTACTACTTGGAATATCACATGCATTGTTTAACTCCTTGTATTCAAGAATAAAGTAGCCCCTTGGGTATTTCGCCGTAACCGCGATGCAATGATCACAGTGTAAATAAAGAGTGATAAGACAGTATGAAAAAGGAATGGAAACGATGTAGATGTCTCTAAACATCGAAGCGAAAAGTGTAGACCCCAACGAATAGTATTACATGGTCAGGTACGAGTTCTCCCCACCTTTATCTCTTTTTGATAACACCCAGGACGCCGGTAATAAGCATGCAATGTCACCCTTTAAGACGCAACATGGAGCCACCGGTTGACAAATTGAAAATGCCAATTAGCGAAGGTACTGTGATAGAATGGAAAAATAACGACTGCAAAGCCCGCTTTGGTCATCAGATCATCAGAATAGAAGCTCAAAGGCCAATGGAAATAAGGTGAGAAAGGCAGTAGGGGAAAAAAAAGAAAAAAAAGAAAAAGAAAAAGAAAAAAAGGGAAACGAAGAGAAGCCAGCAGGAAGGAAACTCTTTTTGGACAAGGAAGAAGAAGAAAAAACGACAGTGAGCCTCAACTGGGCATGTCAAAGAGTCATGCAATCATTTCAAGGACGTGTCCTCAGGGACGACCCTGAGCGAACTCCGTCTTAAAAACATCAAACCAGAAGAATTATAAAAATTCGTCAATATTTCTCATGATCAGGCGCTCGTTTCCTGGGGGAGGAGACCGAGGATCCGCTATCCGCGACCCGAACCGGAGACCATGTAGCCCATTATTCTCCAGTTGACTAGAGATCGACTGTGACATCGGTGCCGCTAGAAAACCGGTAGTCCTAGGTGAGAAGAGAGCAGGCGGTTCTGCTGGACCATCCCGTACGAAGATGTCGGTCTTTGCTAATGAGTAAGGCCCGCTCTCCGGGCGCCATGAATTTAATACGGACTCTGGACGAATCGATCGTACTGCTGAGTCGCCCACTTGAAAGCTTGACTTCCGCAGGGTCAATGGCCGCGGGCATAGGCTTCCCTTATATGAAGGGGTTTTAGGAAAGCTTAGACTTTCAGCAGAAGTAGGCGTTGTCTGGATTGTCGAAGGCACTGAGAGTGAGCTCGTCGAGGACTGCGACAAACCAGCGCATGAAGCTGGTCCAGCTGGTGCCACGATTTCGGGCTGGTTGAGCGCCTCTGTTCGGGATGGTTGCGGTTCAGAGCCCCTCCGAAGTCCTTCCGCAAACCACTCCTCAGGCGCCGGTTTTGAAGGGCCACCCCGGAGCAACCGGGAACGGAAATCTGTCAATTGGTAGATAAGACTCATATTAGGGCCCACCCAGCGACTCCGCCCCTTGACAATCTCGTACATGGAGTTGAAATCCAGGTCTCGGTTTTTGTATAAACCATATGCGATAACCAGCGAAGCGGATCGGCTGGCACCCAACTGACAGTGAACAAGGACCTTTTTCCCTTGTGAAATGCGGGAATCAATAAGCTCGCAGAGGGGGTAGAGATCATCGAGTATCTCTGAGTTATGGTCCCAGCCCACATGGATGTATTCCGGCTTAAATGATGCGTCGCTGCGAGGTGTACCAGGCGACGACTCATTCGGGGGGTACTCAAAGGCGGATTTGAAGGAAATATCTGACATGGCTGTTTCTGGGACTTCGGTCGGCGCCGCCTTGGGATGCGTGGATGTATTCCGAAGGACACTCATGACAGATTCGTTGTTGGCAGTTGTGTTAGTGAAGGGATTTACTACTTCCTTGGCCACGTTGACGACAACATCAAACTGGGACGCTTCTTGTACTGTCGGTTCCAAGTACAAGTAGACTCCGGAGTCGTAGATTTGGATAGGCCCATTCGGATAACCCCGCTCATTGCGTCTAGTAGACTCTCTCGAGTCTAGGTGATCATCTTCCTCCTCCAATTCATGGAGCACACCGCCAGAAACTGAGTTTTCATCGGGGACTGGCTGCAAAGGTGATGGATTATCCTCCGAAGCCGATGGTCGTCGACTGCCATGATGGGTCATGGGCCTAGGTAATTGCATGCCACCTTTGGGACCAAATGAAGGGGAGAAGACCGAGTTTAGAGATGGTGAGGATTCGGTATGTCGCAAAGGTTGCCGGCAGAGTGGGGTAGGAGGGACTTCAGAGATATTGCTAGAAAACGATCTATCAAAGCCGGGAGTCCGGATGGTGAGATTTGCCGGTTTTCGGCGTGAGCTTTTGGGAGGGATGTGTACTGGCGACGGTGGCGCGGACAAATGGTGTTGAGAGGTTGTTTCAACGATGGATGCTGTCGCAATTGGGGGCCGGGAAGACTGTGAGGGCGGAGGCATTCTCAAGGATAAATTCTTCAGGTTTCGTGCCCGCCTGCCGGGAGAATCCGGGCGCACAGGATTCGGTGTGTCGGACGACAATCTGGAAAGGTTGTTGTGGGCTGTCGAGAGCGAGTGGCTCTCGATATTGCGCGGGGGGGGCATGAATTTGGTATACGACAGTGGCATGGACGTCGGAGATTCCGGAGAAGAGCTGGGGGATGTCTCTGGGCCGGAAGGCGAATCGAAGGTAGAGATGGTGGTGGTCGGCGAAGAATCAGTAGACGCTGATGTCATCGACGAGATGCTCTCACGGTGCTTAAAAGGAAGGGGGCGTCGCGACGTGTTAATGGTGACATTAGTGGGCACTTCAAGAGGTTTTACTGCTGCCGTCTGCTCCTCTTTGTCGGTAATGCTGGATGGTCTCCCACCAAACACTGACATAAAGGATGGGAATGAATCCGGTACTGACGGTGGACTGGTCTGAACGGGCATGATGAATCCAGACTTCAGTACAGACCTGCGCTTGAAAGGCGACACCCTTTCAGGTATACAGCTCTCACAGAACGCCGGCGCAAAAACCGCCGGACAGTAATCGCATCCAGATGAAGGGAAAGAAGAAAGTGTCGCACTTGCTACCAGAGCAAATGACCTTTTTGAAAGAGCACAATCAGTTTCCATGTTCAAGCTTTGTGGCTTCGCAAAGTACAGATGTCCAGGCCGAAAGAAACCAAGCAAGTAGAGCTGCAAGGAGGGTGAAACAAGGCCGGCAAGCTGAACCTTAAAAGAGAGGAAGTAATAATGGGATCAGAGCAAAATTCTGTTGTTGTCCCGGGCGTAGAGCATTGAACGTTGTAGGTATGGAAGCGCGCAGAAAGAATGGACGTCTAGTAATGAATGTAAGAAAGATGTGAACATACCAAAAGTTGCCACAAGAGGTCTGGTACCTCTTGAAGATGTGTCAGTGATGTAAAGGGAAGGACAGTAATGTGCAATGCCAACAGGGTAATAATAAAATGACAAAAACAAATCAATCGAAAAACCGCAGCAGAAAAATAAATAAAACTGGAGTCAAGGAGAGCTAGAAATTAAAAAATAGAAAAAATAAAAAGGAAAGGAAAAACAGATGCAGCGTCAGAAATTACTGCATGGAAAGAAGATCCAATGAATTAATGGTTCAGACGGAAGAGTAAAAAGTTGGAGGAATTGCCGCCCGGTATTCGCGTGGGCAGTCGTTCCTCCGGGGAATGACGAAAGGAAACAGTGTAGGAATCTAGTAGGGTAAAGGAGGGTAAGAAGGGAAGTAAAAGAACGACTGCCCACAAGCCAAAGGATAGAAATGGGTCACGTCGATTGATTAGCGAAGTACCCTACTAAGAGGGGAAGAGGAGGGGAAGAAGGAAACAAGAGTAAGAGGAAGAGAGAGAGAGAGAAGGGAGAGGGGAAACACACGACTGGTGGTTGTGTGTGTGTGTGTGAGAGAGAGAAAAGAGAGGTTCCTCCAGGATAGGATAGACCAGGCCAGTTCCAGCAGCAGCATGTAATACTGGTAAAACGATCACTAAGAATAAACCACTTGCTCCAGCAGTAGTTCGTTTGAGAGGACGGGAAGGGAGTAGATGGAGGCCGTGATTGGAACCGTCTGCCCGCGTTTCTTGACGACAGGCCAATCATTCAGCCGTTGCTGGTGGGGCGCGAGGAAGACAGACTCCGGTCAACCAGATGTGGGAAGCCAATCAGACCCGACCGAAGCAGAACATTCATCGCCTGCAGCTCTAAATTTAGCCGCCCGGGTTGGTCTGGGAGGCTGGAATGTGCATCACGGGCGCCAAAAACACGCAAATCAGATGCCTGTCTCTTCCCAACGTTCGCAATGGATGTCTCCCCATCTCTCCAGTCGCGGAGATGCTGCTGGTATGTACCGCTCCTCTTCCCCGTCACCCACAACAACGACCGAGTGATGATCCTCGCGGTCAGGGCAAAGGAAATAAGATAGGAAGTGATGGGCAAGGGTAAGTGGGTATGATTCTGATACAACACAGGGGGTGGAGGAACGAAATCATGTGTGTATCAGAAATCACAGATCGTAATCAATGACCAGGCAAGAGGAAGCACTGTGTTTTTTTTCTATTTTCTTTTTCTTTTCTTCTTCTTCTTTTTTTTTT